TATTTCAGCAGGCAGGACTGGCCTAGGGGTATTTTAAAGGGGTTTTAAATTAAATTTTTAGTAGAAGCGGCCAAATTTAAATAGTTATTTTTAATCTTTTTAAATTTTGTATTGTATTGTACCATTGTTTTAAACTGGCTGTAAGCCGCCCTGAGTCCTCCGGGAGAAGGGCGGGGTATAAATTTAATAAAATCAAAAAATCAAATCAAATGATTGCAGTGAGAAGGAGCTTCTGCTCTTGGGACCCTGAACTTCTTCCATGTAAGGAGGGGTAGCTGGAGAAAAGCACATTAGAGAAAAGTCACAGATAGAGCCCTTGGGGCAATTTTCTTTAGTGGTATCTGTCGTTCCTGTTAGGACATGTCCAGAAAGTCATGCTGGATGGAGATAGTTCAACAGGCAGGAAAGTGACTTCTGCTGTCCTTCAATGGGGTCTCTTGCCTCCAGAGGCTGCTAGGGAAGGTCACCCAGAGTTATGGAGTTTGGTGCCATTCTAGGTTGGTGACCCTTAACTCTAGTGCTGCCTGTGCTTTATCTCCATGGAAGCACTCAGTATCCTTGAACCCAGCCTTATATTAACAGTTTGGGATTTTCCTTCTCAATGAGATCTCCATGTATCAATCCTAATGAGGAGCTGATTTTATAATTCCTTGTAAATGAAGTGAAATTTCATTTGCCATCTGTTCTAGAATGATCATTTTTGGCATGAGAGCTGGCTAAGAGGCAGGAAAGTGACAGCCTGGGAGAGCACCATTGGCACAGAGAGAGAAAATTGTAGAATGGGTAGAAGTTTTCATTTCTTTGACATTTTCTGCGTTGTCTTTCCATACTGATACAATGAGAGCCATTAAATTTTGACGTTTCTTGGTTTAAATAAAACAATTGTGCTGTTAGGTCTGCAGTTGAGATGGTGGCAGCATCCGCAGTGCGGTGGATGGTGTGACCTGATTTCTTGCCACAATCACCCGGAAGTTGGTTTAGAGAGACCTGGTGGCAGTTCCTCTGGTTGTGTAGACTTGGTGTTTTGCGACTTCTATGACATTCCCATCTCGGAGGCTTTGTTTGTCCTCCCCAGAAGACCTCCAAGTGCTTATAGTTCATAGTCCCTGTGTTCTGGTTTATCTTGGTCAATTGTTGATTATTTTTCTTACCTGGAGGGGGGATGTTAATATATACAGCTTGGCCTAGAAGGAAGAACTAGGGATTTGAGTGACGGGGGAGCTGATGGGATGGGCAGGTCCATCCTTACAATGGGGAGCACAGGATGACCAATATCCCAGGTCCATCATTTGAAAGTTGTCCCCCTGTATTGTCCTCAGCTTCCACTCTCAGTGCCTGGCTACCAGATCTTTGGTAGCTCCAGGTACCGGCTCTTCTTTTTGAATGCCAGGTGGATGTGTAACATGGCTTCTCTTGTCCATGATGTTACCTGCCATGTCTCCCTTAAACCAACTTGTGCCCATAGGGGAGGAAAACTCTCCTCAGTTGCAAATGTGGCCACCTACTTTGTGGGTTTGCCTCAGGTGAGAGCCCAGGGAAGTGGAGGAGGGTTGGCTGTGGTCATCCATGGTTTACTATAGGCTCTAAACAGGTTGCACCTAAAGCTTTCTTTTGTGTCAGGGGGGGTTGCAAGAAAATTTCCCCAGCCTGCTGAAGTATGTTGTGTGAATGTGGCCCTTACAAGAAGATAAGGGCATCACCCAGGTTCAACCTCCAGAAATAAACCATGGTTAAAAGTTGCAAGTGTGAATGCAGCCATTGGTGAAGTGAGCAGGTTAAGGGGGTTGTATGGCTGTGATCAGAGGTAGTCTGGTGTAGTGGTCACGGTGTCAGACTAGTAACCAGGAGACCACGAGTTATAGTCCTGCCTTGGGCACAAAGCCAGCTGGGTAAACCTGGACTAGCCAACCTGTCAGAGCCCTGGGAAAGAGGCAATAGCAAACCACTTCTGAAAAACTTGGTCATTATGGTCTTCCTGATTACTTTCACACAGAGCCGGTTGAGGCTGTGGGGTTTCCTGACTCTGGCTTCAGTCTTGCAAAACCAGCCAAGTGGACTCCAATTTGCTAAACATGGGCAGATTTTTAAAAATCTGGTTGCTCTCTGTAAAAACGGCAGGAAAACTCCAATCCTGATCTTGACAGCGAGTAGCAAGTCCTCATGAAGGCTGCAGACAGGCCGATGAAGTTGGAGTCCTGAAGGGCAGGAGGGCTGCAGGAGGTGGCTGTCCCTTCCTGTCAAGGGCAGGGAGAGCGTGCTGGAAAAGAGGAAGGCAGGTGGAGCCCCTTCGTGATTCAGTTCAAACAGCCTCAGGCATGGTTGGAAAATGTTTCTTTGAGGGAGAAGCCTTCCTAGCAGACAGGAAGGGTGGGAGAGCAGCAGTGACATCACAGCAAGGGTGGTTCCACAAATTGGGGGGTCCAAGTCAATGCACCCCCTTCTGTTAGCAACACAGTGCAGCATGGATGGTCAGGCAGGAACCCCTTCAGGAGGCGAGTCCCGGGCACCTGCAGGCTAGGAGAGCTCACCTGAGTCTAGGGTGTTTGCACCCCTATTTGCATTTGGTTAGGTTCAGCACACCCAGCATTGGTGGGACTCCCACAGTCCCCTTTGCAGGACTCAGTTGCAGAGACCCTAGAAGTGTGTTGTGTGAGTGTCCCACCAGGTGGTTGACAGTTGTGCGTGCTCTGCAGAATTGAACAGATTGAGTCAAACTTCACTGACCATCATGGATGCATTTGCTCTCCTTAACCTGGATTGGGGAGAAACCCTCTTTCCTGAGCTGGGTGGAGTCATCAACTGAATTAATGGGTGACATTCACAGCTCATGTTTAGGCCATCCAGGTTTTTTCAGGTATTTCTGCATTATTTTTAGCAAGCTGGGTACATCTCAGCCTGGCGCTGACCACAGGGAGGGGCAAAGGTTTTGGGCTTCATGGGAACCAGATTAATAACGGCTTCTTTCTCCCTTGCATTCCCAAAGAAACATCTAAGGAGCAGGGGACTTGGGTCAACTATAGAGCCCCTGACAATATTGACTGAGATTTTAAAATTTTAAATATAAAGTTTAATTTAAATGTAAATTAAAAAAAATAAAATTCCAGTAGCTGGGAACCTTGTCCTGTGCCAATATGTGAAGAAAATTTATCATGCTAAGCTAGCATCTGGTTAGATATTTTGGCATGATACATTATGCCAATGTAGCAGTTCCCTTTCCTTAAACTAAGTTAAGGGTGTTATCTGAACTCACCCAGATTTACCACAAACCATCTATGTGATGGCCAATGCAGTATTGATATGTAGGTTCTGAGATTTTGCTTGATAAAAAAATACAGGAAACCAGAAGATGCATTCAAAAGTTACATGTTTATTCAGCTAAACAAAGACGGGCTTCTCTAAAAAAGAGAGATAAGCCCCAAATATCAAAAAAGCCTCATTTTTATACCTTCTTTGATTACATAAGCAATTCACCCAGCAAAGCTGACACACATAAGATAGAGACTTTGCCCTTTAAGACTGGCACACTGTAGATAAGAAGGAAGAAAGCAGAAGTAGCTAATATGTTCCCTTTTGGGTGGTTTGGGTGTTTTCCCAAGGCATCATATGTTCCCAGGTGGGTTAGAATATTGGGTGTTTCCTTTGCTGTCCTTCCATGACCTTGCAATCATGGGTCTGAAAGTGGCCAGAGAGAGTGAGGCCATCTACAAGTATTCATTGTCCCCTAAGTCCTGATCAACACCAAGCTTACACCACTATAAAGCCCAGGAAATGAGTCATAAGTCTCTTGTCTTGAAGAGTTGCTTAAGCCAAATATTGGTTGAGTTGTGTGCTGAGGAAAAGGAGGAAAACCAACAGTTTTTAAAAATATATAATCTATCTATCTATCTATCTATCTATCTATCTATCTATCTATCTATCTATCTATCAATCTATCTATCTATCTATCTATCTATCTATTTATTTATTATTAATGTATTTGATGTTTATCTTGAATTTGCATTTAACTATCAAACTACACATATTTATTTCCTTCAATTATAATAAACATAAGTTGACAAGCAATCCCAAAGCATATAAACCAATAATAATGCATAATGAAAAGTTATAAGCCTAAGAAATAATTTCACCATCATTCCCCTGCTTTTGTCATTAGATGTTCCTTAGTGTTTAGATGTGGTCTCAGGATGATAATGTAGCACTTGGGGAAAAAGATGCAGCCCAACAGTCCAGCACTGGAGGCCAAGATGGAGAAGACCTGCACAGCCACCATGTATTTTCCTTTCATGCTCAGGTAGGTGGGGAGGAAGGAGACCCAGACACTGCAGAAGACCAGCATGCTGAAGGTGATCAGCTTGGCTTCATTGAAAGTTCCAGGCAGGTTCCTGGCCAGGAAAGCCACCATGAAGCAAATGGTAGCAAGTAAGCCCATGTAGCCAAGGACAACATAAAACATGGTGACAGAGCCTTCGTTGCATTGAAGGATAATCTCTCCAGGCTGGGAGTGCAGATCAGAGTCAGGAAATGGGGGAGAAACTCCCAACCATATGGCACAGATGAGAATTTGGACAGCAGAACAAGAAAGGATGATGGAGTTGGCCAAGCTCTTCCCCAACCATCTTCTCACTTTATTACCTGGTTTTGAGGCTAGGAATGCCAGCTCTACTGTGATCGTTTTGGCCAACACAGATGACACGGCTACAGAGAAGACAATGCTGAACACTGTTTGTCGGAGAAGGCAGGTGGCTTTCCTTGGTCGGCCAATGAAGAACAAGGAGGATAAGAAACAAAGCAGAAGGGAGACCAGGAGGATGAAGGAGAGGTCCCGGTTGTTGGCTTTGACAATAGGTGTCTCAAGGTATTTAATGAATATGATTAAAACAAAGCCTGTGATTAGGAACAACAGTAGAGTAAAGGAGATAAGGATGATGCCCAGATGTTCTTCATAGAACAGGAAAGTTATTCTTTTGGAGATACACTGGACTCGATACTTGGTTGGATATTGATCATCTGGGCACTTGGTGCATTTTTTGGTATCTGAGAAAAGAAAGTAATATTTCTTTTATAGTCTTTCAAATTTAAGAAAAACTTTGGATAAGATGTAATACACAAAGATAGAAAAGTCTCAGTAAACAGAATATAATTACACCACTACAACAACAAAAATCCCCAATACATACAACTATAAAAAGAACAAAAAAATAAAATTAAACGAAGAACTATCTGGTGCAGCAAACTCCCTTCTATGAGGTAATCCACCAGATTCTTATCCTGCACTGGCCTTACCCTATCCCAAATTGTTGGGAGAAGTAGCAAGTCTCCAGAGGATTAAGAGAATGGGGGCCTATTCAATTTCAAGGGAGAGTAAGTCCAATAGGGCAAGAACTGCAGCAGAAAAGGCAGGCTTCTGATGATCCATAAAGTGGGAATCTTTTAGGGAACACATCGTTTGCATGCCAATTATATCTGCTCTGGTGGGACAAGCAGATATCCTCAAGGAGAGGAAGCCCTGCAGATACCCTGGTTCTGTCTCATGGAGGGTTTGAAAGGTGAATTTAATTACACCTGGAAAGAAACTGGGATTCTGTGGAACCTGCATAGTATGGGTGTCCTATGGAAGAACACATGGAAACTCAACACTGCGCATGCCTTTGCATTCTGGACCATTTTATAAATTCCAGGTGGTTTTCAAGAGCAACCCTATGAGTATGGGATAAAAAGATAGAAACAGAAAACTGATGGCAGAAAAAGACCTAGTGCTGCATCTAGTCTGCCCTTTGAGCTTTTTGTTTATTTATTTATTTAATACTTTTTTTCATTTTTTTCAAAAAAAATTCAGATGATGGACATATGTTTACCCCAAAAATGTTTAAACTCAGTTACTGATGATTGACCCACCAACCATGCTCTCAATACACTGCTACAAAAATACTGGACACAGGATAAAAGTTGTCTAAGATGGTTGGATCCATGGAGAACCACTTGAGAAGGGTTGCAAGACTGACTATTTCAAGACAGGTTGTACAGCCCCCTTCACAAAAAAAAACCACACCATTGACTATCCTGAAATTGAGAGTGTCTCCTAACTATTAGGTCTTCTAGAAATTCCTTAAAATGTGATTCTTTCAACGGTCCTGGGGATCTCCTGGTAACAGGGCCCCATGTGCTGGTTGCATGGTAGGTAGCATCTTGATATACTCCTCTCTCGCTTTCTTAGCATTTCTTTCTCCTTGTTTTAATTGTTATTATTGGTTTGATTGTATTCCGCCAAGAGTCACTTTGTGTGAAATAGCCATATAAACTTGATAAACAAATTTGAAAAAAACATCTTAAAGAAGATTAATTCATAAATAAATTCAACAACAGGAACTGAGTGTGTTATCTGTATTTTTACCCTGTAAAAATGAGAAGGTGAAGCAATATGTTTCCATATTCTCTCGATTTGGCAACAATTTTAAAGGGAATGAATTCAACATTGGTATCAAAGGATATTTAGTAGATTGGTCTTTTATTAGTTCTCTGTTTCTCCCTTCCTTCTGTTCATTTTAACACTGCATGTTAGAATTTTTTTCCTTTCAGGACCACAACTATATTCCTTTTTTTGTGTCTCTCTGTGTTATATCTCACTACAGTATTTAACAAGAAAGAACATTGGAAAGATAAGAAAAGCTGGAAAGGAAATATCTACTTGATGATTTTATGCTGAATCCTCTGTTTCATTTTCATTGTTCCTTTAACCCAACATCTCTCCCTCTATTGTTCCTCCCAATTAGATATTTCAACATATAAGGATATATGATCTTAATAAAGATTAACTGATTAAATGAATGATTGATCAATGCATCTATCAGCCTGTAATGTAAAGTTGGTTTAGGGAAACAAAACCCATTGATCTAAAATCATTCCTCAAGTTACAAATATTTCTAAGAAAGATAAATATGGATGGAAACATCCAAACTGGGTAGTGAAAGAAAGATTTCCCATGCAATCCACAACATCCTTCTTTCAATCTCATCCTTCAAGATATTTTTCTTATAAATCCCATTTAGGGAAGAAATTGGACTCCATGAAAATTAAGAACTAAACAATCAAACTTACATGTGTCTTTAACATGCATATTGATCAAAGTTTCCCTATGGTGTCACCCACCTTCCTGAGTGGAGATGGTCCCCTCTGGACAAGGAATGCAGTCGTAGCAGCAAACTGGCTCTCCTTCTCGAGCCTGCTTGACAAATCCAGGAAGGCATTTTTCCACACATTTAGACTGAGGCAGAGACTAAACAGAAAAAAAAGAAATGCCAAAGAAAATATGTCAGGACTCACCATCCATGTAAGATGGAGGTAGACATGAACATCAGCCAAGTCTTCTCTGGACTTCACATAGGCAAATATGAAATCTCTGACCTCTTCCAAATGGTGGCAGGAGATACAATTGCAGGCAGATGCTTCATTCAGTTCCTCCCTTTTTCTTCTGACTTATCAGATTAGAATAAAGTAGCTTTCTACTTAACAAAGTCTGGAGGGATGAAATTGAGAAAAGATTTAACCATTAAATGGCAACCGGTGGATTCCTCCTCATAGTGGAATTAACATGCATTCCTCCATTCTTCATAAATGCTTTATTTTAAAATATAATATCTAAAATACTAAATTTTAGAATAAACTTCATTGTAAAAATTTATTAAATTTTCATTTCATTGGATTTATTAAAATAGAATAAAACTGTGAGGAAGAAAGAAACTTCTGACCAGTAGGATCTGGAAAGGTTTCTTCTAGAGTGCATAAAACATTGCAAAGCTGCTTCCCTTTGAAAGAAGTCCAAAATTATAACCCAATTAAGATAAAAAGGAAAATTCCCTTAAAAAGAAGGACTGTCAACCTTAAAGATATTCATCATTCATATATATCTAGTCCAACCCCCTGCTCAGGCAGGAAACCCTATACCATTTTGGACAAATGGCTGTCCAGTCTCTTCTTAAAAACTTCCAGTGTTGGCGCATTCACGGCTTCTGGAGGCCGGTTGTTCCACTGGTTAATTTTTCTAACTGTCAGGAAGTTTCTCCTTAGTTCTAGGTTGCTTCTCTCTTTGGTTAGTTTCCACCTTCAGGTGCTTTGGAAAATAGCTTGACTCCCTCTTCTTTGTGGCAGCCCGTGAGATATTGGAACACTGCTATCATGTCCCCCCTCGTCCTTCTCTTCATTAAACAAATATATATTTGTTCAGTTTATATGGCTGCCATGCTGGTGAACTAAAACTAAAACTGGCTGACTAGTTTCTAAAACTATAGTGAGGTGAGATGGAGGTGAGGTCATGAGAACGTGTCCCTCAAAAAGGGTGAGTGAGGCATCTTTTGGTGCACCACATGGGTCATGAGTGTGAGCCCTGTGTGGGAAATGGATATTCAACACAAGATATCCAAAACAATTGTTGAAATAATACAATTAAGTGACACAATCTGACAGGGAAACACACACTCATATTTATTATTAATTTGATTTGTAGTCTCTCAGTGTGTCCTAAGGCAGCTAACAATCAAGATAAACAGTTGCATTCAGGGATTTTCAGATGAAGTGCACTCTTACAAACCAATGCCCAAATCTAAGTAATATTTCCCTCGAAATTGTCCCTTATTATTTCTGATGTCAAGGGTTTTTTTGCACCAAAGCAATCCTTCAGTACTTCAGTTTTCAAGCCATTATCAATAGCGAGATGGGCAGCAAATAAATTTAATCAATCACTCCATAAATGAGCTCACATCAGACCAATCTGTCAACGCTGCTAATATTGAATATTCTTGCTTTGACAAAATATGCAGAACTGTCTGGTGATTTTAGGGTTAATTCAGAGGATAGAGAAAAGGGAGGGGAATAACAACAAAAGTCGGGAAAAGGAACGGAAGTAAATCTCTGCCCTCTGGGCTAATTGGAAGATGTGACATGTGACTGCAAAATAAGGGAGGGGTTTAGCAAGAAAAGTTAGATGCCAGCAAGAGGAATTCAGATTCTGGCATAAACCTCCATGATTGCCGTCAATTTATAACACTGTTAATAAAGGCTTTAGGATAAACATGCCTGAAAGTTCTTTGAAGTGTTTAATTAGGCGGAACCATGACATCATGCCAGAATCCACTAATCTTTTAAACTAATTACGAGGTCCCAGTCCTCGGTCACTATTCCTAATCTGACGGAAATAGTTGAAAAAAGGTCCGTGGAAGATCTCATTATGGAAAGAGAAAAGTGGCTTGAGGCCAGCCAGCCGGGGGAGAGAGGACTTTGGCAGATCTCCCAGCCGAGAGCAAAGACTTCAAAGGCAGAAGGCAGAGATAACGAAGTTCTGGAAAGATTATAAACCCCAGATGTGAAAAGCAGAAATCAAGTCCTGCAGAGAGAAGCCTACAGCCCCTCCCTCATAGATCAGACCCTGAGTTCCCCAACCAGGGACTACAGTCCTGAAGATGGAGGGAATCCCAAACTGAGGCCTCTGCAGCAATGGGCAGGGTGGCACCCCACACAGATAGATGATCAGCAGCAACTGAGCTTGCAGCAGCTAATAGGGGCCTTGCAGCAGATTGGGGTGATGCAAAGGCCAGGAGAGCTACAGCCGGTGAGCTTGCAGATGAGGGAGGCCCAGCATGTCCAGCAACCATTGAGGGGCCTACAGCAGCAGAGGGCATCACCACCCCCTGCAGTCCAACAGCAGAGAAGACCACTACAACCCCCACTTGCACAGTCACCATTGGGAGGTCTGCAGCAGCAGGGGGCACCACCAGCCCCCACTGGCCAGCAGCAGAGAGCCCAGCAACCATTGAATCAGCAGGCAGGGTGGGGCCAACAGCAACTGGGGGCACCACGTCAACAGCAGAGAGCCCAGCAGCCGTGGAACCAGCAGCTAGGGTGGGGCCAGCAACAATAGCCCCAGTGGGGGCCACAGCAGCCTGTGTTTGCACCACCCTTAAACGCAACCTTCAATGGAGACCCAGAGAAGCTGATTTTTTTTCTCAACCAAGGACGCTCTCT